CCCCTTAGCTGTTATAAATTCACTGTAAACCACGGCTTCACGGGGGTTATTGCTTTTATAAAACGGTTATTCCATATACGCAGTAAGGTTTCACAGAATAAAACAGAGCAAATAAAGTGTAATGATATTAATAAAAACAGTATTCTTCCACCAAACAATGTAGTTCCTCAGAAACAGTTGTGGTTCCAACAAAGTGGTTGCAGAGCAACACACAGACGTAAATAAAGGTGTGTGTTACTTTGTAGAGTAATTTACAACAGCTTCGAACGCGGCTCAACCAATCAGAATCAAGCACCGGAACTCTCTGTTTTATAATTTGTATTTTTGGAACTTCCTTCACAGTTTGTGTGTTGTGTTATTTCTCAGTCTGACGTGGGTTTGGTTTTGCTGCAGGTGAAGGAGGGTCTGGGAGACGCTCGGCCCAAGCAGAGGAAGCGTCGCTCGCGGGAGTCCATACGAATGCCGGAGGACATCACCGAAGAAGAGCTGCAGAACATCGCCGACCGCGCTAAAGACAAAATCCTGGATAAAGAGAACGTGAGTGTTGAATGAGTGTTGCGCTGTTGTGTTTCTGATGTATATTAATATTCACGCGTGTGATCTCAGGGCAGCACGTGTCACCAGTGCCGGCAGAAGACCCTCGACACCAAGACTGAGTGCAGGGGCCTGTACTGCGGTGGGGTCAAGGGTCAGTTCTGCGGCCCCTGTTTACGCAACCGCTACGGAGAAGACGTCCGCGCCGCGCTGCTGGATCCTGTAAGTCACCACACACGCCGCTGTTACTGTTAGCTCAACTAAACCTAGAACTCATTATTTTCGTTGAAATTAGGCTGAATTTTTTTTTTAGAATTATAAATTTTAGGTGAAAAACTTAAACGGAAATTATAATGTTGCCTTGGGAACTAACTGAAATGAAGATTAAGCTGAAGTTACTAAAACTGAAATAAAAATAAAGCTAATTAGAAATATTAAAAAGCAAAAACTAATAAGTAAACTGAAAAATATATTTAAATTCATAAACTGAAATAAAGCTAAATAGACGTTTAAAAAGAACTAATTAAAAATAATTAATTAAAAATAACTATTTCAGCTAATAAATAAAATATAAATATTAGATTAAAAAAAATGAAAATGAAAAATATGAATATGAATTAAATATAAATAATTAATAATAAAATAAAATAATTAATATAAATTAAAGCTAAATGGAAATATTGCAAATATATATATAAAAAAGAGAAACTAATAAAAACATTTTAAAAAAATCTAAAAATAACTTTCACTAAAATGAAAATTTGAAATTGTTGCCATAGCAACTGAATGAAATAAAACAAGTTAAAGTACGAAAATGACTAAAAGTTCATTAAAAATAAAGCTATATAAAATATAAAAAAATGACTAAAATTTGTAAAATAAAAAGAAAAAAACCTATTTCAGTTAGTTAACCGAAATAAACAAGTTTAAAACAGATATTTAAAAAAAAAAACACAAATAAAAAAACTATTAACTATTTAGACTAATAAATGAAAAATAAAATATAAACATTAGATGAACAACTAAAATGAAAATAAGAAAGGTTGCCATGGCAACTAACTGAAAATCTGAAGTACTAAAATTTAAAATTGAATTCAAAAGTAAAGCTAAATAGAAATACATTTTAAAAACTCTAAAACTAATAAATAAAAAACTAAAATATCTAAAAAACAATTTAACTAATAAACTGAAATAGAAAGTGAATTAAACATAAAAAAAAATACATAAAAAAAATGAAAAATAAAAATAGCAATTTCAACTAATAAATGAAATAAAATAAATTAGATGAAACTTCAACTAAAAGGAAAACTAGAAAGGTTGCCGTGGCAACCACCTGAAATAAGTTGAAGTACTAAAATGACTTAAACTGAAATAGAAATGAAGCGAAAAAGATTAAAAAAAAAAAACCATTTAAATGAGAACTGAAAATATAAAAGTCTAAATCTAATAAAGCTGATTTAAAGTATTAATAAATACTATAATAGTTTCTTAATTATAATACTGAAGTAACACTGGTTTGAACAAACTCTCAAAACGGAGGATTAAACTTTGGCACGTAACTTGTCCGAGCAACACACAGAAGCCACTGCCATGTTTCAAGCACGCATTTTCTTTATAAAACGTACAATACTAGTGAATATTCTCAGTGACGGGTCATGAAAATACAGAACACTGATCTGTGCACGAGTGGTTTGGACTGGACTTCTGAAGGCGTATATGAGAGCCTGTGCTGTGTCTGTCGTGCTCCTGCAGGCGTGGGAGTGTCCCATCTGTCGAGGAGTGTGTAACTGCAGTCTGTGCCGCAAGCGGGATGGACGCTGTGCCACCGGCGCTCTCACCAGACTCGCCAAATTCTACGGACATGACAACGTCCGGGACTATCTGGAGAGGTGCATCACTACACACTCAGCAAGCTTTACTATATGTCCTGCCCTGAGATTTGACGATAATATTTCAGCTTTCGCACGCTCACAGTTCTCTGGTGGCGGTTAATGACATGCAGATAAACACATAACTTTTCTTTCGTTTTTGTTTTTAGTAAATATTTATCTATTTTAATATTTATTTTATTTTATCTGATTTAATTATATGTTTTTCATCAACTCACAAAACCACCTGCTGTTCCTCATGAACCCCAGTTCGGGAAACCCTGGTTTATTACTTCATACTGGAGATTTTTGTATAAAATCTCATTCATCTTAAATAAAATCAAGTGCTGCCCTACATTAAAAAAAAAAGAAAATAATTTTTTTATTTAATTTTGTTTATTATTTTTAATAGGGATTCACAAACGTTTTACATCAAATATTTTCTAAAATAGTTTAAAAAATAATAATAAAATTAAGTTAATTTTAATAATTTAACAAGTTATTTAGTATTGATTTATACATTTATTTAGATATTTAATTTTTTTTTTTTAATTAGCTTTTCAACTACTCACAAACCACCCTCATAATGAATATTTATTTATACATTTATATAATTAAATTATTCTGATGTAATTATTATCTTTCATTAACATTTAATAATTAAATACAAAAAATATACATTTTACATTTTTCTAATCTAATTATTTGATTTATCAACTCACAAACCACTTTTTTTTCTTAGATATTTGTATTTAATTTTTTTGTAGATATTTCTAATTTAACTAATTTTATTTTTTCTGGTATAACTAATTATTATATTTATCAACTCACAAACCACCCTCATAATAAATATTTATACATTTTATATTTTTTCTATAATTAATTATTAGCTTGTCACGAGCTCACAAACCACCCACATAATACATTTTATACATTTTTTTTCTTTAGATATTTCTGAACTTTTACATTTTTTTTTATTTATTATGTATTTATTAGCTTTATCAACTCACAAACCATTCTAAATAAATAGTCTCCATTTGTCCAGACAGCAGTCGCTGGTCTCGAGGTTAATGCTGCTGTGTGTGTGCATGTCTGTGTCTGTGTGTGAGTGTCTGTCTGTGTCTGTCTGTCTGTCTGTGTGTGTGT